ACGCGCACGGTCCCGCGTCTCGCGCAGACGGTGCTGCTGTGGGCCTGCGCGCTGTTCCCGGCGCCCGAGGACTGGGCCGAGCTGCAGGGCGCCGTGTACCGCCTGCTGGTGGTGCTGCTCTGCTGCCTGGCCACCAGGAAGCTGCCCCACTTCCTCCGGCCGGAGCAGGACCTGCTGCGGGGCAGCGGCCTGGATCTGCACGCCCTCTACCAGCGCGTGGAGCTCTTCGCCAGCCAGCCCGAGGCGTCCCTGCGCATCCACGTCACGCACCTGGGCCGCAGCCCCCCGCCCCGGCTCGGCAGCGGGGTCAAGGCGCTCCTGCAGCTGCCCGCCAACGACCCCGCCTACTGGGCCACCGCCTACTTCGACGTCCTGCTGGACAAGGTGGGCACGGCCCGCTGAGGGGCCTCGGGCTGGCCCAGGGTCACACGCGGTGGGCACAGAGCCCTGGACCACCCTCCTGGGGTCCGGAGCTGGAGCAAGGCTGGGGCAGGTCAGGGCTCCGGACACGAGAGGGTCTGTCAGGGTGGAATGTGCTGTGGGGGGGCGGGGTCAGGCAGGTCCCGAGTGCCCCGCCCACCAGTGACCCGCGAGCCCAGGGCCGCTGTCTGGGAACCAGGGCAGCATGTCCAGGCCCTGCCTGTCCGCAGAGCCACCCCAAACCCCTGCTGACAGCGCTTAGAGCCCCAGCCGCCACCCTGGGCTCCATCCCTCATGAAGAGGTGTGGCCTGCCTGGGCCTCGCGGGGCAGTTCCTGCTGCACCCTGCACCCAGGAGCCCCACGTCCCCTCCCTTGAGTGTTGGAGGGTGCCTGCTGCTCTGCCAGCTGCTCTCTTGAGCCCCAAGTTTCCAGCAGCTCTTCCAGTCCCCCCACCACCACCCCGCGTCCCCAGAGAGCCCAGTCCGGCCCCGCAAGGCACGCCCAGGCGGAGTAGCAGGAGGGGCCAGCGCACTCAGTCCCCACGGCACCTTGCAGGGCCTCCTCGGTGGCGGGCCCCTCCAAGGACGTTCGCACCGTGAGGGAGACCTGGGGAGACACCTGGGCGGGTCCACCTGCCAGGAGGAGCACCCAGGGGTCCACGGGCAGGAAGGCCCAGTGGTCGGGGAGCAAACGCCCCGCGCAGTGACGGTCCCAGACGTCTCCGTGACGGCCTTGTCCCGTCTGCCCGCAGTTCCAGGTCTTCCACATCCAGGATGAGGACCGGGTGTCCGCCATGCAGAGCATCTTCCAGAAGACCAGGACGCTGGGCCGCGAGGGCTGCTGAGCGGGCCGCCCGGGACCTCAGCGGAAAGGGCCGGGCTTCACCTTAGGCCGTGGCTGGTGGCAGAGGGATGTCGTCCCCAGCGACAGTCTGGGGGGCGGAGGGACGTCGTCCCCAGCGACAGTCCGGGGGGCGGCCTCGTGGAAGACGAAGGGGTCGCTGGACAGTGGGCCTCCCGGAGCAGCCGCCTCGTCTCCAGGGATGTGTATCCCATGTGACCTGTGTCCATCCTCCTGTGTATTGCCATTAAGACTCTGAGGACTGAGTGTCCGCACGAGGCCTGGAACTTCAGGCTCGTCCCGACCCGCGTCCCGTGCTGCTTCGTGTGGCGCAGCACCCTACGCGAGATCCCGAATAAAGCAACGCACTTCGCAGGGCAGCTGTTTGCGCGCCGCGCCCCGTCTGCCATGAGGAATGAGGACGGGGCCCAGTGCCCCCCGTGGGTTGTGGAGACGGTGTCACATCCCCGGGAGAGTCCATTTATGGGGTGGCTCGGTTAGCGCCGAGCGGGCTGGAGCAAGCTGGGCTACCCTGCAGGTGTGCGGGCTGGGGCACCCACGGGACGGGGGGCACCACGTGGCGTCTCTGGAAAGCCCTGACGTGGGAGCTGGGGTTCTGCAGCAGAGAACTGCTCACTGTTCAGAACACAGCACCTGGCGCGGTGCGGGGCCCTGGGGGAGAAGGAGCCCCTGCCACGAGACCCCAGGCCACCGTGGGCCCCGAGCTGCCTGTCACGGGCTCCATGGAGTAGGGTCCTCGCCCATGCGATGCGACGGTAAAAATAAGTTAAGGGCGTGAGTATCAGGAGACAGAAGCGAAACTGTCCTTATTCATAGACAACTTGATTATTTACGTAGAAAACCCTAAGGAATCTACTAAGAAACCGCTAGACTTTGTGAATTTAGCGAGGTCGGAAGACAAGGTTAATAGAGAAAAGAGGGCTCAGCTTCCCTATGTCAAACCACTGGAAAGGAATATTTTAAAGTACCATTTACAACAGCATGAGAAAGAGCAAACTCCTAGAAATTCGTCTAACAAAAGCACATAAGACCTCTGCACTGACAACTAGAAGCATTATTACGGATAATTTTTAACATACTTAAATTAACGTTTAGGTCTTTCAAACCTTTAAATTAAACACGTATAAGATCTTGATGATTTCCACTGTGCTCAACTTGATACATAGATTTAGTGCAATTCCCATTGAAATTCCAGCAAGCTCTAGACAAGATAACTCTAAAATTTATATGGAAACTCGAAGGATCCAAGATAGGAAAAACAGCCTTAAAGTGAACGAAATCGGAGGCCCTGCCGCTTCACTACAAGCTGCAGTGTGTGGGGGTTCGGCGCTGACGCTGGGGGGCCAAACACAACAGCGCGGAACGGAGTGGCCCGCGTAGAGGAGCACGTGTGGTCAGCCGACAGAGCGGCTGGGTCAGCTAGACGGGGAAAGGCAGGGTCTGCTCGACACGCTGGTGGGCCGACCGGTTGTCAGCATGGGTGACACCGAACCTCGGCCCCCTTTCCACTGGGTGCACAAAGTCCACACGATGTGGATGACAAACTACACACAGAAGCTGACGCCATCGTCTCTGAAGCAAACGTCAAAAGCTGCCTGTAGGACCACGAAGCAGCCCGATGATCGCCAGACAGGGCACGGACAGCACAGACCACGAAAGCAAACACGGACGGGTAGGACTCATCCACATCTGAAGTATCTGCTCTTTGAAAGACACGGCCGAGAAAAAGAACAGGTAAGACACGAAGCAGAGAACACTCACGACACCTGATCTGACGGTAGCCAGAATCTCTCAAAAAACTCACAGATCAGCCACGAAAAGAAAAATCAATGTGAGCAAACTACTCAAGCTGGCGCTTCTCGGAAGGAGACATACGAATGGCCGATTAGCACACGAAGAGATGCCCAGCACCATCGACCCTCAGGGAGACGCCCGTTAGAGCCAGAGTAGGTCCAACGTCACTCCCTGTGCAGGAAAGACGCCGCCAAACGACGGTGACCCCCTCACGTGTCTGGGAGGGTGCGGAGTAAAGCAGCCTGTTACCGCAGGACCCCGCAATTCCTCGCCCAGGGCTTTGCCCAGGGAAATGAAAACGTGCCACGCAGAGCCTGTGCACGACGGCCCCTTGCGGAATCGTCCAGATGTCCGCCAACAGCACGAATGAGCGGGTCGCGACAGAGCCGCACGACGCAGCGGTGCCAGCAACAGAGACGCGCCACGCGCCCGCGACGCACCGGGCTCTGCAGGAGGCGGGCGCGGCAGCGCGCGAGCCGTGGGGCTCCAATTCCCGCAACACGGATCTGCCGTGATGGAACCGGGGGTGGAGGGGCGTCGACTGGACGGACCTTCCACTGGCGCTTGTCCTTGAATTCTCATCGCAGGGTCTGCTTCCCCGGGAAACCCAGCCAAGGCGGGGCTGCTCCCAGGACAAAGGCCAGAGTCCCAAAGGTGACGGAGGTGGCCCTGCGTGTCCGGCCCCCGGGCTCTCTGGCCAGCTCTGGAGGAGCCCCCAGCCCCGCCTGCGACTTCGGGGACGATGTGATCACGGACGATGTGACCGTGTCCCTTTAGTGCCCGTCTCTGCTGGTGGCCGTGAGCACGTGGGGTGGACAGCCGCTGGTCTGCTCAGTCCCCACCCCAGTGACACAACTGTGCCCAGTGAGGACTTGGAAATGTGGCCGTGGCTGTGACTGCCCGAAGCACGCCCTGGTCAGGAGTAGGTCAGAGGTGGGCCTGGTCTGAAGCTTTCTGGGAGGGACCTCGAGTGAGGGGCCGAGTTGGGGGACAGAGGGAGGGAGGGAGCCAAGCCAAGGAGCAGGGGAGACTGGGGCTGGGGGCCACCTTCAGCTGTACACTCAAGGGTCTGTCGGTTCCAGGGCTAAGACCCTCCCAGATGTTGGCTGCCGGCACTGGCCTGCGTGCCAGGTCACCCCTACACAGGTCCTGGCTGTGCGCTGTAGCCATGTTCAGTCCTTGGCCGCGTGACTCAAATCACAAATCAGCGCTGTGGGCCGTGGGGCGTCTCTGGAGGCTCGTGTGACCTTGCTTTGCAGGCATGAGGTCTGAGGCCCCCGCGTGCCCGTCTTCCAGCCCTGGGGGAGCCCGGTCAGGGAGCAGTGGCACTTCCAAAGGGGTGCAGTCAGGGAGCAGTAGCACTTCCCTGCCGGAGCCTTCCGCAGCACACCCCACACAGCGGGGACAGGTGACCAGCGGGTTCTTTATTAAGCATCCCCAAGGGGACTGTAGCTCATTTGGGAGGAGCTGAGGATCCTGAGCCCAAAGCCCATTTCCAGGAGGTTCCCAGAAGGAGCAGGGCCGCCGGTCTTGTCGCCCCCCCGGCCCCGCTTGCCCCCGTCCGGCTTGCAGAGTCTGCTGGTGCACCCCGTCCCGTCCGTGCTCCTCCGGGAGGGCGTGGCCGGGCACCCAGCTCACAGCTTGCCCTTGGGGCAGTGCTGCAGGGCCTCCTGCAGCGCGTGGATCACTCGGTCCACGTTCTCCCTGGTGGCGTTGCAGCCCAGAAGGCCAATCCGCAGCACCTGGGGGTGGGCAGCATGGATGTCGGGGGCCTAGGCCCCGCCCACCCCGGCTGAGGTCTGGGCAGAGCAGGCAGCTCCTCTGCTGAGGGCCCCCTACCCAGGGTACACCAGGGAAGCCGAGAGCTTCCTGTGGCCACACGGAGCCTCCCGGACCCACGCGGAGCCCGCAGAGCTCGCGAAGGGGACCCAGGGCGGTGACCAGTAAAGGCCACTCAGAATCGCCCGCTCAGCGAGCACAGCCCGACCCGGGCACCGCTGGAGCTGGGCACTGGGCCTCCGGCTGGTCTGCCTCACGGAAGAAGCAAGGACGTTTGGGATGCATTGGAGAGGCTGTACCCCGAGACCTCAGCAGCTGGGGCGGAAGGGGCAGGAGGACACAGTCTGCCTAGACTCAGCCGCCCAAATCCCTGGGGTCCGGGGAATGATGTTCCCTCTGGACACCCCTGCTGCCTCAGGCCCTCTGATGACCACCGACCTCAGCCTGGGGCTGGACACGGGCACAATCTGCTCCATGCGGGGTTGAATCTAGCTTTTGTGGCCGGTGTGGCCGGTGTGGCCGGCCCTTCCCTCACCTTCCCCGTGGAGGGCCCGAGGCCGCCGGTGATCTCGATGGCGAAGTGGTCCATCACGTAGCTGACGATGTCTCTCCAGTCGTAGCCGGCGGGCACAGCCACCGTGGTGATGGTGGGCAGCCGGAGCTCCTGCGGGGCAGGCCAGGCTCAGCACCAGCCGCCGGCTCGGGGCCAGCCCCGCCTGCCCTGGCGTCCGGTGTCAGGGTGGGGGGGGCACGGGGCGGGGAGGCAGGGCTGAGGGGGCTGAGGTCGCCACGGCCCGCCCTCTTACAGGGTCCTTCACGAAGAGCTGCAGCCCTAGCGCCTGCAGACGCCCCTGCAGGTACAGGGCGGTCTCCCGGTGCCGCTTCCAGCTGCTCTCCAGGCCCTGCAGGGGACGGGGCGCCCGGTGTCGACGCAGTGGGGGTGGTGGGCGGGGGCAGCTCCGGGCTGGGGAGGGCTCCCCTTCTGACTTGGATGCTGAGGCCTTGGGGAGCCCCCCTGGAGCCTCCGGCAGTTGGCCTGCTGTCCTGCCAGCCCCCGACCCCCACTGCCGCCCCTGTCTGTGTCCCATGAGGATCCCCTCTCCCCTCCCCACGCGGCTCGCGCCCCTGGCCCACCTTCAGAGCCACCCCCACGAGTCACGGGCCAGCCCAGGTGCCAGTGACCCGACTCCTGCTTGGGCCTAGGGTGCTGGCTTTATGAGCAGACAGCAGAGGCCCAACCCGGCACCACAGCCTCAAGGGGAGGCCACATCCAGCCCTGGTCTCCTTGGGGCCTCTGGGCAAGGGGATGGCAGTGGCCTCTCGGGGAGGCCAGGACGGTGAACGTGGGCCTTGCTGCGGGCCGTGTGTCCTGTCCTGCGTCCTGTGTGGACGTTGCCATGCCACACCAGCTGTCCCTGCCAGGCTGCTGCCCCCGCCTGAGAGCTGCGAGAGGCTGCAGGAAGGGGCCCCGGCGGCTGAAGCTCGGTGTCGTGTTCCTGGCGACCACAGCTGTGGACCTCGCTTCCTGGCTCCTCATTCTGTCTTCTGCACACCTGGCCGCCCTCGCTGGCTTCGCTCAGCGTCCAGTGGCGGAGGACGTCCAGGCCCCACCACCGCATCTGCTGGCCGGGCTCCGGGCCCCCGCCCGCCCAGCCGAGGCCAGCGCTGCCTGTCCCCTCACCTCCTCTACCATCAGGGCCAAGGCCTCTCGCAGGCAGTACAGGCTGACGACAGGAGGGGTGTGGTGGTACCTGCAAAGCAGGGAGGGGCTTGTCCAGCGTCCCTGGGCAGGGCCCAGACAGCAGCCTGTGTACCCCAACCCCAACCAGGCCCGGCCCTCTGACCACGGGGCCACCTTCCGTCCCAGGTGAATGCTGTCCGCTGGGAATTTTGGACTCAGAGCTGGAAAGGCACCTTGATCTGGGAGACCAGGGCTCAGAAGGGGGCTGACAGGCTCCCACCTCCCCACCAGGCCCCCCTTAGCCCCGGTGACCCCGAGAAGCCCATCCTTGTCCCCATGTGTGACATAAAGGGCCTTGGGCTGTGACCAAAGCCATCTCAGAGAGCCCCTGCTCACCCCTTTCTTTTGAGATATGGGTAAACTGAGGCCTAGGGATGAAAAGGCATAGCCAGGTCCAAAGTGCCCGAGGGTGCACTGAGACATCTGGGGACACGGGGCTCCTGTGGGCAAGCGGCTGGCCCCAAGCCCCCGGCCAGGGAGGAAGGCGGGGCCCTGGGCTGGGGCGCCGATGGGGGGCTCGGGACCAGTGAGTGAAAGTGATGGGGGCCGCGGCAGTGAGAGGTCACCCCCACACCCCCCAGCCGCCCTGCGCGACCCTCACGTCCTGGGCGCGCCATCGCAGCCCCAGATGTTGGCCAGCCACTTGACGTCCAAGTAGAAGGAGAATGGCCTCGTCTTCCGTGCGTAGATCTTACTTCTGAGGAGAAGAACCAGCCTGAGCACCTGCCTGTCTGGCCGGGGTGCCTGTGGGGCGGCCTTGCCGGGCCCCCCTGCTTCACAGAAGGGAGCCAAAAAGGGAGCCAGAGGGGTGGGGTCGGCCCCTCGGGAGGCCAGTGCTGCTGGCCCTGGGGCCTGGCCTGCACCTCCGCCTCTCGGGGACCTGGCCTGGCCCGCCCTCCCCAGCCCCCTCCATGGAGTCGTCCTGCCTTGTTCCCCCGGCCAGTGAAAGGTGACATCACTTAAAGACAGGGTCCCTGGCTGCGCCGGCGAGCGGGGCACATCCACGTGATGGAGAGGAAGCCAGGGCTCCCGCAGGCTGCCGCATCCCCGGGGTGTAAACTGGGAAGCTGGGTGTAATACGGGGCTCCTCGGGCAGGGCCGCCCCAGATTGGCCTGAGCAGACCGGGCCTCTCCCCAGCTCTGGACTCGGACTCAGCCACCTCCTCACCCCGTCCACACGGGATCCCTCTCTCACCCCAAGTGTTGTTCTGGTGAATGGCACGGACGTCCCCTGCTAGGGCTGGTCCCCCATCCCCTCCCCAGCCCACCCGGGCCTGGCTCAGGGTCTGGACACGGGACGTGGGGACGTGTTGGGATTGCGGCAGAGCACAGGTGGCCCCAGCCCACCCCATGGCACGGCTCCTGCACCAGCTCCTGGACGCTGAGCCGGGTGGAGCCAGTGGGGGGCTGGCACAGGGGGCTGGCACAGGGTGGGGGGCCGGTCCTTGGCTTGATGGAACGGCAGGGCCCGCCTCCCACACACAAGCCTCCATTAGGACTGTCTTCTGGACGCCAGCCTGGCTAGGCCGCATGCTACACACCCGTGACCGTCACCGCACCCAGCTCCTGCTCCGGGAACCAGAGCTCTGGCACCCCTGTCCTGGGTGGCCCCTCTCCTGGGGTGGGTGGCGAGGGTTCTAGAGGTGTCTCTGAGCACGACGAGGTGCCCTTTCCTCGCCTGCTTCGTCCCCGCCTCCCGGGGTCCCTCGGCCTCGTTGCTTGTCCAGCCCTGGCCTGGCATTCCGGGGGTCACTCACTTGGCCTTGTCACTGAAGGAGATGAGCGAGGTGCCTGGAGGGGCGTTCAGGACCTTCTGGGAGCCCGAGTACAAGACGTCGATGCCTACAGGGAGGGGGTGCACGCTTGGGGGGCCGGGCCCACCTGGTGGGGGGTCGCTGTGGCCCAGGCCTGGGCAGGTCTAGCAGAAGTCTGGGTAACCTGGGGGCCCAGGCACCTGGTGTCTGAGTGAGGGGACAGGCCTGTGGGGCCGGGCCGGCCCCGTGGAGTCTGACACTATGTCGGGGCAGGCGGGGATACCCCGTGAGGGGGCGCGGAGGGAGCCGGGCGGCGGGGACACGAGTGTCTCCCCTCGCCTCTCCAGGCCCCGCCCCCGCCCCGGCAGCCG